AAGTCATCTCCAAACTGGTTTCTTTTCTACTCATATTTTTTTTTCTTTAAATCCCCTTACCATGCTGCTACCAGTGTGTGTGTGTGTGTGTGTGTGTGTGTGTGTGTGTGTGTGCGTATTGTTTTAAAAACAGGTTTTTGCCTTAGGGTATGTGTACTCACCAGAGAACAAAAGAGACAGAGACAATGGGAGGGGAAGTGAGGAATCATCCCCCAGGGGAGATAGCCACACTGCAATCCCTTCTCTTCCATTCTCCTCTTGGGATCTTGGGCACGCATGCACATGTGCCCAGTGTGAGTTTCAAGTCACTAGGTCTGAGATTTGAACCATAGTCAGCCATGTGGGAGTCCAGCGATGTAACCACTCCACCATCTGCTGGGCCCTACCAGAGTATATTTTTAAACACAATTTTGACCTCACTCTCTCTCTCTCTTCAGTGACATCTTTTCTACCTCTAGAGTAAAATTCCAATTTCTTTGTATTTTAAATTATTGTCAGACCAGCAGTTAGCGTAATGGCTATGCCGCTGGACTCCCATGTAGTCAACCGTGGTTTGAGTCCCGGACACGGTGGCTTAAACTCACGCCGGGTGCGTGTGCATGTATGCCCAAGATCCCAAGAGGAGAATGGAGGAGAAGGGATTGCAGCATGGCCATCCCCCTGGGGGTGATTTCTTGCTTTCTGTCTCTCTTTCTCTGTCTTTCTGGTGAGTGCACACACCCTATAGCAAAAACCTCTCCAAAAAAAAAAAAAAAAAGGAAAGAAAAGAAAAGAAAAATGAAAAAAAGAATATTGTCCTTGCCTAGATTTATCCCTCAGTTTCGATTTGCCCATCCCTTTTATCATTCTCTTGCGAAGCACTCACTCAGGTACCCACGTGTGCACGAACACACACAATCTTCGGTAAGAGTGATCTGGTAATCGCGTCCCAGTTCTCTCTCTACCTGGAAAGTATTTCTACTTTCTTGGCTCACAAAACCCATAATTCAATTTCCAAACCAAATTAGACTTAATATCCTCTATGACAATACTTCTCAAACTTTATTGCACCTCTGGTTATCTGTGGGTCTCGTGAAATGCAAATTCTTGTTCTGTAGATGAGGCTGAAGCTTGAGAATTTGCCGTCGTCATGAGCTGGCGCTACAGTTTTTGCTGGTCTAGGGACCACATTTTGAGTAGTAAAGCTGTAAAAGCTTCCCCCCAATGTCACCCTTCCCCGGCTAGATATGATCACTTTTTCTCTCCTTTGTCCAGGCTTCTGCGATGATCTTATTTAGTGTAACAAAATTTTGTTTGTATTTCTGTCTTCTCAGTGGAACTAGGAGTTGCTTGAAAGTGAAGACCATGCCTCTTTCTTCTTTGTTTCCATAAAGATAAGCAGTGCATGGTGATGGGTGCACACAAGAGACATTTGGCACTTACTTGTTGAATGAATGTTGTTGAATGACCCACAGTCTTTACTTGCCTATAGTAGACAAAATCATTAGCCTTTTTTTAAAAGCGAGATTTTTGCTATAGGATGAGTGCATTCACCAGAGAAACAGAAAGCGAGAAATTACCCCTCAGGAGGGATGGCCATGCCGCAATCCCTTCTCCTCCAATCTCTTCTTGGGATTTTGGGCATGCATGCATATGCCCCTGGTGTGAATTTTTGTTTGTTTTATGGAGAGGTTTTTGCTATAGGGTGTGTGTGTGCCCCAGAAAGACAAAGAGAGATAGAGAGACAGAAAGCAAGAAATCACCCCCCGGGGGGATGTCCATGCCGCAATCCCTTCTCTTCTATTCTCCTCTCGGGATCTTGGGCATGCAGGTACGTGCACCCTGTGTGAGTTTAAGCCACCGGGTCCAAAACTCGAACTGCAGTCGACTACATAGGAGCCCAGTGACATAGCCATTACACCAACTGCTGGACCCCCTCACGTGAATTTTAAGTCGCCAGTACAGAACTCTAACCATGGTTGGCAACGTGGGAGTCCAGCAACGTAACCATTTGCTGGACCCTATTAGCTGTTTTTACTTAAGAAAAAGTTTCGGGAGTTTACCATTGGATAAATATGAAACCCAGGTCATACATACAGATTATTAAAACATACAGCTTTATTTGCTATATACAACTTTTAACTGTGTGTGCTCTACAAAGGATAAGATATAATTGTAACATTTTTGCTTTGAACAAAAGCAGTGACTGTACACTAATAAATATTCCTCTGATCCAAATATAAATACATAGGCTCAAAAGGTACAAAAAGGCAAGTAGAATCAAAACCTTGTATAAGGGAATTCTCTGTGAAAACGGCACCATTTTCAAAATGTGAAAGAAAAAAACAGGCAGGAAGCTCCATTTGTGGGCTAGGCCCTGGGAGGTGGACTGTCTGTGTGTGTTCAGTTCAAGTCCCACTGAAATTGAGCTTAAAAAAGATAACACCATGCAGAGGAGAATTTTCTAAACCGGACCACAAGCAATGTCAATTTTGAGGTTTTTCTTCTCAGCTAAATGTCCCAGAAATTATCTTTAATTGTGAGGTCCAGAAAAGAATGTACAAAATGCTAAGAAGTAAACAGGGATGATTTTGGATAAGTTGGGTAAGATCATCTTCTGAATGACAGAATTTTATCTTGAGTCTACTGTTTCACAATGATTGTAGTTTAAAGTAATGTGTCTGAACCCCAAGCCAGTCAAAGTATAACATGATCTAGAAAGAGCTTATTGCACTTTCATTCAATAATTTTTCAAAGAACTTTATCTGAGTATTGTAGAGAAATCAAATTTCTTCAACATGTGGGGAGTAGTCTTCCCCACAAAGTGTCCAAAGAGAATGCAACTCAAAATTGGAAAGATAATTAAAGGAAGTGTGTATTCTTCCATGGGAGAGTCTTTTAAAGCTGCTTTGAAGCTCACCTATAAATGGCTTCATGCAACTCTGGTGGGCTGGGAGAATTAAAGGGTTAATTAACTGAGTGACTCCAAAGTTATGAACCATAACTACAATGAGGATACAGAAGATGTTATTATAAGCTGGAGGGCCTCCTGCCAATCATAGTGGTCTATGCAGGAGCAAGGGTTTATGTCTCTTCTCTCTGCAGGACTTATTTCCTCTGCAATCCCTTCCATTCTCAGTAGGAGGCAGTGCTGAATAGGAAGAAGAAATCTGTGCACTGGATCAGACAGCTCTGGAGTAGCGTCCTGGTTCTGTATACCCTAGTTATGTCACTAAGAGCGGTGTTCTGGCTTTTTGAAGGCTCAGTTCCATTATCTGTAAAATGGGAATAGCAATGTGATCTCATGGAGTTGGTGTGAACTCAGAGTGAACTGAGTCTGCAGGAAAGGCTCACAGCTCTGTTCACATCCACTTCACATACAGGGCTCAAACAGAAGGCATCCTTGTGCATCTTGTAAGCAACCCAGTCCGTGCCTGACTTAGTTTCCGTTCCGATGGGTTTCAGCAAGAATAGACTCCTTATTCCTTTCCTAGAACTTTTCAGAGTCAAGATGTCTCAACCTTAATATTGATTATGAAACCCTCAGGCCTAAACCAGGGTCAATTTTTCTGCAAGGCCACGCTGACCAGCACAATGCTGCCCCCTGTTGATGAGTGTGGATAGTGCAGCTAGAGGCTGGTAAAAAGGAGGACTGAGTCCTCAGCCAATCGTCATTCAGAAGTAACTGTTGCCTTCTAGGAGGCTGGTGGAAGCCTCTGTACAGACGTGGAGGCATAGTCACCCGCGTGGCTGGCTACGAAAGGCGGGCATTGCCATGCTAACAACCTTAGGCCTTTTTGTGGCACCAGTTGGTTCTCCACCATCAGATACCCAAGGCTCCAACCATGGGACCTGAATTGCTTATCCAAATCCATCCAGTGAAATTAACTAATCATGCACCCTTCAAAAGCTGCGACGGCAGTGTACACTGTAAAATCTCACACAGCTGCTTCTCAGAATATCCGGCTTCTGGTATGAGCGGCTGCTCCGTCCTGCTTTATGGCAGGAAGCTGTGGCTCACAGCATCTCAGCAACAGAGCACGCTCCTCCTGGTCTTCATTAACTCACCAGTTTTTCTAGAAAAAGAGTCATGCTTCTCAGCCCTTTGCTCCCATATCCTGGGATATTGTATTTATGGGTCAAATAAAAAATCCTTTGAACCATAAACTTCAGATCCATGCATAAAATAATAACAAAAATAATAATGCAGGGCCTCCTCTTGTCACTCCCTATTGCTCAGAAGTGCATGAAATTGTGCTGGAAAGCCGTCAGACTGAGGTTTGTACGCCACGTCTGACAAGGGACTAGAGGGAGAACAGAGACATCACCACTTTCTGGCCTGGCTCCAGTGCAGTGGCCTGACTGCCAGCTTCTGCCAGGATGCTGCATGCTTGGTGGCTTGGGGGACAGTGCCACAGCCAGATTGCCTCTGGGGAGTACTGGGCTGGTAGAGGCTTTTAATGCTCTGTGTAAGGAGGACGTCCCTTCTCCACTCAGGATCAGTTCCTGGTCTGGTACTGAGTTTCTACTGAGGTCCTGATTCTGCAATTTCGGCCAGTTGGGTAA